CATAAACATGACAGCATCAATGGATGCGAAATCAGATGAATATAGATCTCTTCGAATCAGACGAATTTATCTTGAATCACTGATGAGTTCCAGCAGTGACCGATATTGTGTGGCTACCACGTATAGGGGCTGGTTTTATGAAAATCCATAAGAGTCCGTTGAATATCTTCAGGAGCTCATAACTTGATAGGTTATATAAGCATTTGAGCAGTCAAATCAGACCACTTCAACATGGTTTCATGAAAGGGCGTTCCACAATAAACAACCTTTTCAATATTACTCAATATATTTCTGAAAACATTGACAGACGATTGCAAGTCGATGTTGTATATACAGATTTCTCAAAGGCATTCGACAGGCTTGATCATGGACTATTATTATCGAAACTATACCGTTACGGATTTTCCTTGGCACTTATCCAACTTTTTGCTTTATATTCTACTAATAGGCGTCAATATGTTATGTTCGATGGTTTCAAGTCTGTCGAATATGCAGCAAGCTCGAGTGTCCCTCAAGGTAGCAACCTAGGTCCGCTACTCCTCAATGCCTCTATCAATGACATTATCGAAGTAATTGATGTCAATTGTTCGATGTATGCAGACGATTCGAAGATATATTGTCAGATAAATGATATTGAGGATTGTAAACAGCTATCTCTGAATCTGAAACGCGTTGAACAATGGTGTTGCAGTAACAAATTACCTTTGAACGCTAGCAAATGTAATGTGATGACATATACACTTAGAAATCAACTCATTTTATTTCCGTATGATATAAGTGATACAATACTTCAACGTCCGCCCACATTTACCGATTTAGGTGTCACCTTTGACACAAAACTTCCATTCACACCGCATATTGAAGCTACTTTGTCTGCTGCAAACAGGATGTATGGATTCATAGCGCGGATCTCTAGAGATTTTTCCGATTCAGCCACATCAGAACATCATATTATGCCTTCGTCAGATCAAAACTGGAATATGCATCTTCAATTTGGAATCCGTCTCATCAGCTGTATATAGAAAAAGTAGAATCAGTACAATCTCGTTTCCTAAAACTTCTTTCCTATAGATCTGATAATGTATATCCACCAATCGGGTTTCCTCATGATACATTATTAGCTGTTATAAAAAGCCTCAGTTGCCGTCGTGATTGTCAATCCACAGTGTTCCTTTTCAAAGTGGTGAATAACATTATCACTGACTCACACATTTTGCAGAAACTGAGTTTCACTGTGCCTAGACAAACTCCTACAGTTTTCAATACATTCCATCTTCCGACACCACGAACAGATATTCTGAAATATTCTCCTCTTTAAAACATGTGTTCTATAAACAATAATTCATCAAATAATCAGCCAGATATCTTTCATTGCTCTATCTCTACGATTAAATCTTTTTATTTCAGCTAAGGTCTTGCCTATATTCATATACTTTTCAAAATATGAAAAACTGTATTATTAGTTATACTTATTTCCCTCTTCTGTAGTTGGGTTTGACCTGTAGAACAGTGTAACATTAAATAAATAACATTGAATAAATGAATAAATAAATAAATAAACTTGTGAGTACGCAAATAACCAACCCGATGTACTATGGCTATATACTCAATTATATCCTTGGATGGGTATTCTCTTCTCGCTTCAGTTCTCAATTTTTTTCACTAGCCTCCTCCAAACTCTCTTGTTTCCTGCTTTTCCAATGCCCAACCTAACCAAAGTTCGGGAAGGGCAAGCCGCAGCTGCTATGTAGATGAAGCATCTTATGGAGAATTATATAACACCCAAGCATCAAATTTCTAGATCAATAGGACAGATTTGTGGTCATCTGTATGATAGGTTGGGGTAATCACTAGTCATGAGCTGATGTGGCCTAATAGATTGATAAACGATGATTTGACAACCTCCTGCAAGTTTTGGGAAGAGGGTGACATCAGTGTGAACCTGATTGGACCAGCGCCTCAACCCTGAACCCCTGGTTCTGTGAGTGATGATGGTGCTATCAGTCACTGTGATGGTATCTGAAGTGGCCCTTATGAAAGAACCATGATTCGTATATTGTGAAATCGATAACAGCATATTGGAGGGTTCAACGGGCCTGAATTTCTTCGGAGACTTCGATCAGACGAGACTTAGAAGGTGGTGGAGTGTTTACTGGATACATTCACATAAAACAGTACACGATAGAAAAATTTCAGTCGATTTTTACTCCAGGTCGACTCACATTCGTGTCTATCCAGGTTCACACTGGATAATGTAACCATTTTATAGCTATAAACCCCTTATATTAAACTTACACAACATGTCTCAGAGATATGGAAAATATTCGAGAAATCATGTACACAATTTTGACAGAGTTTAAAGATGATGATGATGAATTTTTAGCGTATAGGAACTTCCACACTTCCATGAGGGGACTGGTCCTTCGCGGTGTCCGTGAAGAATGTCATCGAATATCAACTTGTCTGAAAATTGATATCGATGAGGCTTTCGACCATCTACCCTTTGAATACAAATTTGAGCTGAACAAATATCGTCCCAATTTCTGATGATATACTTCCTATTATATGATTAGTTTGTTCAACTTTACTTCGGAACTCTATCAGGTATAGTTCAACATATTTTCGTATAGTTGATTTTCGTAAAGTAGACCGTGTATCTATATCTCCAATATTCTTGATAAAATTCAATCACAAAAACAAGTTGCCGAGATTCTCGTTTATATACGTCTTGTTATAATGAAATATAATACACATCAAAAGCCTATATCCGTTCTCCTGTCGAGACGTAAATGAAGAGATAATTCAATTCTGTATCAAACTGAGAATGCTTGCTTCAAATTATCAAAGTAGATGTGCTTTTCATACTTGACGCACGCGAAAATATAGAGCAAATTTGTTGAGTGTTGACGATATAGTGAACATATATAAGACATTTGATCTCACAAATGTCAATTCAACAGGCTACTGAACTATGGATTTGCATGGCTTATTCTCATTCAACAATGATGTGCTATCACAGATCTCCTGTGCAATTCGAATGTGTTTTGTTGCAAAATATCAGCGAATGCTTTGTTCAAAGTGCCATTTCTGCATCCGATATAGATCTTTATAAATGAAAGCTCTACCTATATGATATATATCAACACTACAAAATAGTATAATTCTTATAGTATTATGATACAATCTTGTTGTGGTATCATGTGATGGATGTTGTAGCTGGCACCAATTTTACTAAAAATTTGGTATTCACTACCGACTATTTCTTTGAGTGTTGATACATTCATAAGGAAAGAAATATGATATTATTGATGCCATACACTATCGCTCTATGCTACCAGCAAACTATTATGGCCCAACTCCTTTTAGCATGTGTTAGATAAACATCTGAATATTCACCAAAGATTGGCTCGATTGGATGTCAAACAAATACCTAATTCTATATCAGGATTTAGTAAGTAGATGCATGTATACTTATTCAAGTTCATCTCGAATTATTGAAGGGGCAAGATCGTATATTCCTAGCAAAGTAGCATTATGTATTTTATAGCTTTAGCTATTGAAATAATGGAAACATCAACGAATACATGTTTTTCACATGCACATGATTCAACCATCGCAGGCGCCATTGGAATATTTTTTTGGCGTCTCTTATAAGCAATTCAATATTCGAAATCCAATTCTGATGATCATAACTGGGATAATCAACGGCCACTACGATGATAATAGCTTTACATGATAATGTTAGTGTTGGAAGTGCTATTTTATTATTTGAAAATTAAGTTCGCGAGATGAGCGTAGAGAAAATGTATATCTGGCATATTTCGGGGAAAGATCTAAGGTACCGAAATCTAAATCTCTTTGGTCTTATTGTTCAATGGTGAAGGTTGTTGTGATTACAAAAGAATCAAACTGCATGAACTCATTGATTTCTTGAAGCGAAAAGAGTATTATTACCAGGCGGAGTATATAGTCCATGATTTTGATGAAATATATCAAATCGAGTAGTTCCTTAGGAATGCATCAGACGATAATTATCTTGAAATGGAAGTGACCGTTTTATATATAGGGTCTCTGGAAAAATTCATGTGGTAAATGATAGGGCTGATAGCCAAAATAGTTCCACTACTTCACATAAGAAATAAAATGTCCATCGCATTTCGTTATCGAGTTATTGACCCTGAAAGTTTGAATTGAAAAAATATATTTCATCGTTGAATTATAAACGGTTGCCATGGTATCAATGATGTTAAGACAACTGAATTGAATCATACTAATGCTTCTTTCGATATGTAAACATAATACTATGCACCTGCATGCGTCGAGTAGAGATGATACATGAATTTTTGTTCAAATGGCTTGTTGACTGACCTTTGTCAATACAATTTCATCTCAACGTAGTAGAAATATTTCCATAAGTTTTCTTTTGTCGGGTTTGTGTTTTCATGATGTGTGAACCGTTCTGAAACAGTTCCCGGATTCGAAACGATTGCGCACTAGTTCTCCGCAGTTCAAGCACGATTCTTGAATAGTTACGAAATCGAAACCTTATGGAGAGATCTAACACTAACACATTCTTATTTCAATTCCATAGTTCTTGCAGCAGGGAGCGGCAAATGGAAACCACACTTCCACGGCACTACGATGTTACAATCATCAGTGGAAACCATGGCTATTATGTCCTTCGAAAGGGACGTCGATTCGGTAGTACATGGCCATGGATGTTGGACTCGATGTTATAGATTATATGGTTGGAATGAAGAAGGCACAAGCGTCGGTATTTAGTCTAGTAGCAGAAATAGAACAACGTGTTGAAGGAATATTGAAAGAGAAGGAGCGAAACCATTGTTTACATAGGCCAATAAATGTAGAAGTATACACCCCAAAGGATACACATTTCATATTTCATGAGGAACAGAATACGATATCGATCCCATACGGCATACGGCAACACTATGCTCAATGTTACTTGCTGCTGCCTACATGCTAGATTGTGTACTTACAGCATCATTATGGTTCCAGAATATGAATGCCGGTGGCTCGGGACTATGTCGGACGACGCAGGTGAGGTTGATGGTGCTGCCGCGATCAATGAACAGCTCTGGGCCGCCCACGATCTCCGTATCCGGCTCTGGAATATTAACAATTGCACAAATTAATGTTACATACAGTGTTGCCACCTGGTCAAAGAGTGAGGTGAACAACCCAATTATCGACATTGTCCCAATCATCGACATTTTTTAAGTTGAAATCAGAAAAAATTTGAACTAAGTAAGTCTTCCTTAGATGCCCAGAAAGACTCTGGCCGGTGAGGTAGAAAATATAAATCCCATAAACTATCCAATTTCCTCATTTTGTCATTATACAATCGTTGATCAGAGTGCTAGTGATAGTTGAAGTAAGAACTTTTTTGGTTACTTTATGGAGATAGTTGTTAACATATGTCTAGAAATCGGCAAGAGAAATGGTTGTGTATACTCAGTATAATAATTAATTTCAATGAGACTCGGGCTATAGTATACAATTTGATCATTCAATAGCAACTCGAACGTTTTCGGTACTAGGCCATCATCAGGAGAGTATTTGTCATATATTCTTGCAGAAGATAAGAATTAAAATCATTGAAAAAAAAAATAATGAAAAACAAATTATAAAAAAATAGCCTGAGTCTCACTCATTAATATTGATTGATATATCAAGAAGCTGAAATTTGTGTTTTTGCACAATGCATAGGCATTGAATGAATCAATTATTTTGTACTGTCGATAACTCGTACATCAATTTTCAAACTTTGTAGCATATATCGACATAGGTATCGCTGAATGGCACAATATAGTTTCATTTTCACCTATGAACATCCGAATACAGTCATAATTTAGTCTCGTTATGTCTGGAAAATTTAAAAGTAATTACTTATAATGAGTTAATGCTTTCTCAGCTATCGACACCCACTTTTCCGCTTCATTAAGAAGGTGTATAGACTCGATGTATTAGTATGTCGGTGTTTGGTAGCAATTAAGTTGTCAGATGATACAGAATTATTTCAATAGAATTTTTATATGAACAACGCCCAAAAATTAAATTATTCGACCGATAACGGTAATTTGATTGGCTGATAGCTGTTGAAACTGATGTTAAGTATGAGTATTCAAATTAAACAAATAGACCTTTGTTCAATAAAGTGCTCAACGAATTGAGTGGTCCGCTCGGATTTTCGACGTTTTCAAAAATGCGATAGATTTTTTTGCAAATAAACCGATTCGCAATCAAAATGCAGTGTTCGAAAGATTCCTCCTTTTTGTTCAGGATTCATTGTTCGAAACTTCTCGAAGTTTTCTAGTTATGACAAAACAAGTGGACAGAAATAGTGTTACAATATAAGCGAAAAAGGAAATCACGTACTCTTCAAAAATTATTTCATTCTTCAGCAAATCGAGTCGATATCTCGAAATGTATTCGATTTTGGTTATGTAAAAAAATACTGAATATCGAATAACAACTGTAGGATAATGACAGTTGTTGTCACGAGTTTGCCAGCTCATTTATTATGGATTATTATATGGAGTGTTGAATGATTGAAATGTAATTACTTCCATAGAATCATCTTTTCTCGAGTACTCTTCCCTAGTGATGTAGGAAACGCGCACTAGAGGTTTCTTAGTTCCATGCCAACTCAGGAATTTGTGGATATCACCGTTTCTTCAATATTCCATGTAAAGTACTGAATAATGCAAAAGTACTCCTTGCGGCCCCAGGAATTGACTCATGTAGACAAAACTGTTCCGAGATGTTGAAAGGGGCAATCCATCTGATGTTCTGAATGAAGGATTTATGATTGCACAAGCACAATGTTCAAAGAAAGGCACATTTAGTTGATATTGAGAGTTCTGCTGCTCTTGCCAGGTGGATAACTTAACCAGGAATGAATTCGAAAATATAATAGTGTAGTGCCGGTTTGAAAATCGCCTGAACTATTTTAAATCCACAGATGTACCTAAAAATACGGGATATCATTTCGAGATATTTGCTTGAAGGTTTGAGGAAGTTGATTTGCAGGAGAATGAAAAATGTTTCCTGGGGGATAAGGAAGCTTCCAAACTCTTTCGATTATGTAACACTCTTTGTGACCACTTGGTATGTCATAACTGAAGAACTTCTGAAGACTGCATTCCGTTTGGAGATCGGTTGATTTGCAAAAGAGTAATCGCATTTTGGAAATCGTCGAAAATTCCAGTGGTCCACTCAATTCTTTGGCTGGTTCATATTGCGCAAGTATTAATCATTCCAGAATTACGTCATTTGATTGCTGAGGGGCAAACATAGTATTACATCAAGATTTGTCATATGGAACCAGAATTAGTGGAATCGTTTCCTTGGAATCCGAGTTGGACCAGAGAGAATTTCACAATATTGTTGGGGGAAACTGTTATCACATCGTGGAAATGGCAGGGATGGCCAGGGCTATGCTCATTAAAAGAAACCTGACAGATAGTTTGTGTGCCCCTGAAAAAACCATGTCAAAATCACGTGTCCTGGAATGGTTAATTCCACTAGAAATAGTTATTAATTCACAAAGGTAGTAAAAATTCCATTATTACCCGGGAGACCAAGAACATATCCCGTGGCTTCAGTCGAGGGGTATAAGGTCCCGTGGTAATGATATTCTCTACTATCAAGGTTTATATTGAATTTTTCTTACCACTAGCAATATATTTGTTTCAATTATCTTAGTTTTGTGACCTATGTCACTATGGAAGTACTTCTCTTCAATTCTCATTAAAATCTAGTCATCATGACAGCATATGACAGTGAATTCAGGTAAATTATAACAGAGGTGGCTATGTCTTTATTGACTAGTGGAATAGTTATAATATGACGAAAACTACCTTGGTAGTAAAAACACACTTTACGCCTCGAAAAGGAGTTCATAATGGTAGGATCTACAGCTAGTGATGAAAAAAAACTACTGTGTCAGCAGAGCACAATATTTCATCCTATCGGTGATGTTGGTTTCTCGTAGATTCAAAAAAGTTTAATTATTGAGGGTAATACTTTCAAATGTATCCACCCGTACAAGAACATTCTGTGATTTTCCATCAATTCCCAGTGTTTCATTGAAGACATCATCATAATAGTGCTCAGTATACCAACCTATATTCACTTTAATATGTGTGGACCATAAAATGAAGTCGCATTTTCAAAGCTCTGGCCAGGAGTAGTGAGTCTGTCGGACATACTGAAACTTTTATTATTCATGAAAGCTGAAACACCGGCCTAAAAAGAGTTATTCGGCGTGGTCAGCGAGACTCCTATTCAGACCTGGAAAACAAGTTTTTGTTGTGCCACTGAATTGGCTGGGATGGTATGGCAGAAAGGTCGCTCGTATGTTTTTTGTCTGTGACAGGCTTTGTCCGATGGTTTAGTCTTCAGAGAATCTCATAGACGAAAATTGATGACCAAAATTACGAAGATTCCTGTGTGTGGCTAATGGAGATAATTAATACACCTTTTTATAGATACCAGGGTAATGTTCATTATTATGTTATCCATTGCCTTTTGTTTATGAACTATCCATTATTGTTTTCATTATATCTGATCTTGTAATAGAAATTTAAGACTGACAGTGACACCATCTCTGTACCTATGCAAAAAGTGATCTACCAACCGAAGTGAATTCATAATATTTCTTCATAAATAAGTGAATAAGTGATACTATCCTGCCATGAATATTTGGCGACAGCTTGTTACCTAAAATTTTGAGCCGTAGGCGAGAAATTTTGTAACAATGTTATGAGCGAAACTAAAGCAGCAAGCTGAAGTATGCCGATTGCCGAATATTTCCAGGTAAAATAATTGTATCACGAGTTGTACCTATTCGTATGATTATTTCATGATTGAGACATTGAACGAGCGCCTGGAGAGAGTTGCGCACACTGCATCGATCATTCTGGCTTCCATCATAATTGACGTTATGAACTTATAAAAACCCATCGCGGAAAAACGAGTTTGGTTGGTCACGTGTGGGTCAATTCGTCTTCTGTATTAGTAGAACAAGTCCGATATTTTGTATTGGTCGATTCTGATTGTTTCTCGAAAACAAAATTGGAATAGTAGGTATATAACAAAAGTGGGATGAAGCAACACTGAAAAATCTCAGGATTCCTCAGCAATGCAAATGATCGAGCCACCTGAAACTGCCGATTGCCATTCTGATGTGCAATGATAGCAGATTGGGGGCGTTTGACAACATTGAGATTCTCGTTGTTCATCGGGTCTTTGTGTGTATTCGGGGTATGGATTTTTAAATAAACTACATTGTTTTGCAACCGACACAAAAGTCGCCCATTTTAATACCAAAATCAGCTCTTGAATTGATTATATATCACTGAAATGAACACAGGTATGTTGCTTGTCAACATTTGAACAAATTGAACTCTACCTCCTAGGAACTGGAAAGGATGTACTGGGTCATCAGAATGAACAACATTGTTGTGGTTGATTATTTGGGTTGAGACGCATACCTGATTTGTTCCAGATTTGGCATTTCATACCCATGCTGGAAATATGAATACAGTTAAGTATTTTTGTTTTGATCAGGAACGCCCCCAAGAATCACATACTTGCTTGATCTGTATTCCATTCATTCTCGAGATCTGATTGATTGAATAACTTGGTTTTGAATAATCTCGGCCAGCAATACTTTTTTGTCCCACACAACGATATTATTCAGATTCGTTTGATTACCGAGCAAAACACTGTGGGAAATGAAGATAAATGAATAATCGCTATTATTATTGTTGATATGCTCACTAACCTATCATGTTCAGCTCCTTCCTTCTATACCTGGCACTGGCGCGGTATTTGCTATTAGGGCTGACACCTCGCTGGTCCAAACCAAATGAATTAATCGATCAATCTATTCGATAGAATACACATATAGGTTACTCTGTGGTTGTAATTATATTGAAACTACAGTTCGAACAACCTTGAGCATTGAAGAAACCTGATCTGTAAATGTAGGTAGAGTATTCCCACCACACGGATTCATTGTTGCATTGCATAAATATGGCACGGCATTCACGTTTCGAGTATAGTATTCGATTTGTGCCTGTAGTATCTGATGATGATGAT